AATTGCCAGTTTGCATCAACAGATAGGAACAAACCTCTCCTTTCCTTCTGGAATGCGTCAGAGTAAATGAAAGAGTTCATAAATGAACATGGTTGAAAAATACTAGTCTTGACAGAAAGATTTGAAACCATTTCCTCCATTTGTGCTCAAAACTTGAGTCTGCCCAATTTAGAACATGAAATCGTCTAGGTGCCTTAGAAAACATAAAAATTTTGATCCAGGTCTAGGGCCCTTTTGAAAATGCCTGGCAGAAATAAATCCATCCTCTCTCTCATCTAGAAGGCAGAAAAGTGCAGAAAAGATAATCAGGGTATGAACCTGATTTTTAGATACTCATTAGAAGTATTTTGCTTTAAAAGCTCCCACGGGCATATAATTTTAAAGTAAAATTCCTATAAATGATTTCAGGAGAAAATGATTGTTTTTAACCAGAATTTTGTTTAGATCTTTTCTATGCTAAGAATGAAATGGCAACCAAAAAGGAATGAAAACAGCACAAAGCAAAACTCTCAGTAAATATAATAAAAAGCAGTGTTCTCAACTGTGGTCAACACACGGCATCAAAGATAGGAAAAACTATATTCCAAAAATTGATTAATGTGCTTCAACTAGCGCATTCCCTACTATAGTGGAAAAATAAAAAAATCCTTATATTTGCTGTCAAAAGAGAGTTTCTATTATCATGCCAGTGACACTACACTGCTACATTGCCTCAAATACACATAGATTTGTCCAACCAAGTGGTTTTCGAACCCTCAGGAGACATCTGGCCAATTTTCATTTTGAGACATTGTTCGTTCTCATACCTGGAGAACAGTACTGCTGGCATCTAGTGGGTAGAGGCCAAGGATGCTGCTAAATACTAAAATGCACAGGACAGCCCCCACAATAAATAATTATCTGGCTCAAAACGTCAATAGGGCTAGGAAACTCTGGTCTAATCTATTTCTTCATGGCTAGCTGGGACATGGTGACAAATATAGGGAGTTAGAGGTGATAAGCACTCTTCTTACAGACCTCCTATTAAGCTAGACAACTTAAGAGTTCTAAAGTTTGCTTGCTATTTACCAAATAAGTTTCCAATTCAATAATTTTCGTTTGTAATATTTTAGGCGGAAAATGGAACACAGTCCATGATTCTTGCCATGTTATCAAGCACTGTACCCTCTACGTTTATTAACTTACCACATCTGCTTAAAGTTTATAATCAAACCTGCTACTGCTAGTTCTACCTATTACAAATTAATATTTTCCTGCACTTACACAATAACTGAATTCCCTATGCGACCCCACCCCTCCAACACACACACACCAAAACCAAACCAGTCCTCAGATTTCAGCAGTGAGTTTTATGTGGTCATCTTCTAAGGAAAACATTCACATCTGAAATTCCCTTTCTCTGAAGTTACAATCCATTAAAACTTTACTGTCCAGTTCCATGAAACTTAAATGCCAGAATGGGAAAGGAGGATGACTTTGACTGTAAACTTAAAGTCAGCAACAAAGAAATGCCTTCTATAAAAAGTGAAGAGTGTTGGTAATGAAGTGAAATAAAATATACAAAGGCTGAAGAGGTCCCTCTAAAAGTAGCAAAGCACTTAGATGTTATTTTATTTCCCAGCACGTTTCTTTAGGTGTTTCACAACAACAACAACAACAACAACAACATCATTTTTCTAGGGAAAATTGTTTTTTAAATGTCTCCAGTTCCAAGTTTGATGAAGGCACTTACTTGTCTATTTTCTAGGTGATACACTAAAAGAAAATTTTGAAGTTATGAAAAAATTCAGTTCAAATTTAAAGGCACCACACAGGGTTCAGAAACCCATTTTAAAACCACCACATGTATCTGAGAGAAATCCATCCGAATACCGAAGTTTCTCAAGCTAACAAAGCACGTACTGTTTGTCAGGAATGTAGAAAGATGGACAGTTTAGCCCACTGAAGTTTTCTGAAATATTTAAAGACAAAACTATTGCTTCGTGGATTCGCTGAGCTCTACACCAAATGTTAATATCTGAATGTAAACCTGAAATAGATTTACCCTTGTTAAGCAAACTTCAAGCAGAAAAAAATGCCCTACGTACTTAAAAAAAAAAAAAAAAGTGCCAAAATGATCCTAATTTTTTAAAAAAAGTATAGCAGGTCATTTAAATGCAAACTCTAATTTCAGAGAACTGAGCACAGAGTTAAAGGACAAAGTGGAAAACTCCAAGGATATCTCATGTGCGACAAAGTACGTTTGGCAGCAAAGTATGTTTAGACAAACATGTGGTAAGACTCTCTTTAATTTGACTAAATGTAAAAAGTTTTGTTTTACATGAACTTGACTAGTCTATTTGCTGCAGTTCGAGCTTCTGAAAACAAGAACAGGCACCAGGCTTAGGAAAAGGATGGCTAAGGGGAGAAGCTGTCTGTCCACAGCTTCCCCTCCAAATCCCAAAGGAGGAAAAGCTGTTGCCTCGGGGTACTGGATAGCCAAGGAGCCTTACTGAAACCACCACAGTTTTGAGCGTTGTTTTTGGCAAAAGGTAGGTGTTACCGGCTGCTTCCCGGGGCGCTGGAAGGAATGTGTCACCATCAATCAGAAAGTACACTGAGCCCCGTGTTTAGGTCACAGAGGGAGTACTGCCTCGTCTAACACGGATAAATCAAGCCAACTCCAGGAAAGAAGGAGAAAGGAAAGTTGCAGGAAAGGTGTTCGTGCCCAGTGACCTGCAAAACCAAAGGAAATCCCAACTTGTGCTGTAGAAAAACTCTTGCGCTCTCAGGTTACAGAGAACTCCGAGAGCTGGGGAAGGCGGGCGCTCCCACACTTCTCCAGGGAACAGCCCCGCCGGAGCTCACTCAGTTCCTCAGAGAAGAAGGACAATACACCCCACTCACCTCGGTGGGCCTGGAGAACGTCCAGTCTCCACTCACCTCTGCTGTTCCGGGGAGGGACAGGACCCCCTTCACACACCCACACACACCTACTCACTCAGCAAGTCCCGCGCGATGGGCTGAAGGATGAATGAACTGCCCACCGGGACGAGCCTCACAGGACAGTGGCGGGCCGCGGGAGTGCTCACCTGTGGGGATGCTGAAGGGTTTCTCCGAGTCTGCACCTAGGCAGGGAGTCCAGGGCTGGAGGATGAGAGCCAGCAGCAAAAGCTGCGGCTTTTCTGCGCACCACCCCATCTTCCGCCCCTCCAGGGCCCGTGAGGGCTCTGGCATCCCACCGCCCTACGGCGGCGAACTTCTCGCGAGAGCGCGGGGACCACTGGTCCGCCCCGGGCCAGGACTGCGGGGGCAGCGAGTGGGGCCAAGCGCGCGCCGCGGACCCACGGCCGGAGTCGGACCGACGTGCAGGCGCCCTGGCGCCGCGAGCAACTTATAGGCTCCGGAGGGGGCGGCAACGGGGCGGGCCGTGCCCTAGCTATTGGCCGCCCACTGACCCGCCGCGCCGCTGCGTTGTGGTTGTCTCCTCTCGCTTCTCAGCCTCGCGTCTGGGTTGTTTGCTCAACTCCGACCTATTTAAGGAGCTGTCTGCGGCTACGTGTAGAGGCTCACGCAGGGCTTCTGGCTGGAACGCGTGTACACTTAAGCGTGTACTTAAGTTTGGGAGTGGGCCTAGGGGAGCGAGGAGGAGCCGCCGGGAGTCGGGCGGGCGGGTGGTGCGCGCCTGATCCTCCTCTCTGCTGCCCCAGCACCAGCAGCTTTCCTTTCATTAGTCTCAAAGGGGGAGACTTTGCCCTTCTCTGGATTTGGATTCCATCCCTGTCAGGAGTGACTGCAAATCCAGAGCAGTTTTGGCTGAATAGGACCTCGCGAGATTCTAAGCATGGAAATGGATCCTCCGTTAAACTCAGGGGTCAAGTTTCTTCACCCTGTAAAAGGAAGGCCCTGTATTTATTTTACTGTGTAAACCGAAAGTTTTTATTGTCCGGTGAACATTTCTTTCTCCTCCTCTTGTGCCAGTAGAGCCACAGACTCTCTCCAGTAATGGCTTGTAAATCCGGCAGAATTGGAGTCCAGAGTGTGTAACCTGAGACTGTACCTTACAAGATCATCCTTCAGACCACATGGAAAATTACTCCCAGAGACGTCCTCCTTGGCGGGTCCTCCGCTGCTTCCAGTTTTGATTCATGTCTACGCAATTTTTTTTCCTTCTTATCACCTTTTATCTAGCCCGGTGTTTAATCTATTGGGATGAGCAGGGGCAAAAGCACAAATTAAGGCGAAGGCGTGAAAATGTTGCCTCATATTATGTGATATGAGCTGTCTTAAGGGACAAAAAGAATCAGACTTGTACTATGGCAGTATTCTGTAATCTACCTCTATCTTCCTAAAACGGGGTGGGGGAAGCCTGATTTGAGCCAATGTACCCTTTCCAACTCTGAACCTTTGAAGTTAAAACAGAAAAAGATATGTTCCATTATGATCATATTTTGTCTAAAATTAACATGGAGTCTAGAATAAGATGAGCACTAAATGGTCACATTAAAAACAGGTGGAAAAACCTGCAAAGAAATGTTGCCTGGGGTGTAACATTTTAGAAGAAGAATCATTTCCTGTGACCAGAAGTAAGCCAATTGTTACTGTGTTTTGAAGGTTTGGTCTCAGTAATTTAAAAGGAAAATTGGAGAAAGTTCAGAGAGAGTAACAAATAATTAAAGAAATGGAAAGTATGACCTGTGCAAAGAATGAAATGAGGTTTATTTAGCCTGAAGAAGAAAAAGCTAAGGGATGTATTCCTTAATAACGTCCTTCAGTGTACAGCCAGCACCACTCCATAAAGGTAGGCAGAAAGCCAATAGCATTAGTCCTTTGAGTCTGAGGACTCTGCTAAGAATGGCTAGTTTTTTGGCCAAATCTCGCCGTCAAGAATTCCAAATTTGTCTACTGTGCCTGAACTCTGCCAGACTTTTTGAACCTGACTTCGTGCTTTCCTAGTTGTCCGGTATCTTCAAGAACTTGCATGGTTAGCTTTCTGCCCTCCCAAATTCCCTCACGACCCCATGCACACTTACAGCTTCTCCATATCATTGTGTGTGTGTGTGTGTGTGTGTGTGTGTGTGTGTGTGTGTGTGTGTTTCAGCTGCAAAGTCTACCAATCATTTCAGGTTACCATAACATTCACCATTCTCTATTGAGAGTCACAAGGTCAGGACTGTAAGATTTGTATAAAACAAGTATTTCTTTGGGATTTTCAAAATAGCCAGACACATCTATCATCATCTGAAAGAGCCCCAATTCTGAAACAAAATTCTTCCCACCTTCTTATATTTCAGCTGTCTGCTGAACATCCCTACTTAGACATCCCACTGGAACAGGTCCAAATGTATTTAACTCATCAAATCCAAATCCCACTCACAGTTTCCTCATCTCTGTTAATAATACTGCTGCTCTCTAAATCACATAGCCTCAAACATTTTCTACTTCTCTCTTCCCACCCCCTATAACATACAGAGCCTGACACCAATATCTTGTCTTTTTTTCCCCCTTCACATATGGCCTCCATCTATTCCTTTCCATTTTCACTGTCACCTCACTAATGTGCTTCTGAATATACCCTAACAGTGCTATTTCAACTGTTTCATCCCTGTAGACTCTCCTTGCCCCCAGGACTGTACCACTATATACCACAGTTAAATTCATCATACTCAGATATCTTTTTGATTACTTCACCCCCAAACTCAAAGATTCCATAAGGGATTTGAAGCAATTAAAATCCTTTAACCTAGAATTCAAATTTCTTTGCTATCAAACCTATTCACCTCTACCTATATCCTCTATCCAACCAACATGATTTGCCTTATTATCTCCCAAAGATATTGTCATTTTTATTCTCCAGAGTTTGGGCAAGAATCACTGTCTTTATTTGGGTTCTTCCAGAGGCTAACCTTGAGACAATATTTAAAGACCAACAGTTTGTTGGTACTTTAAAGGAAGAGGAGTAGTTGAGGGTAAAAAAGGAAGTTAGCCAATAATGAGTACATCAAATCTATCACAGGTGACTAGAGCTTGCCTTTGTTCATGTTACTTCTCTATCTAGAAAGTTCTTTTCCAAACCTCTCTTCTTCCCTTCTTTGGGCTGACTTCTATCAGACTCAGGTGCCACCTCCTATAGGAAGCCCAACTTGTGTACCTCATCCTATCCCAGGCTGGCTTAGGTGCCCCTGTTCCATGGTCTCTAACTCTTTAAACAAACTTCTCTCATTTTTGACAGTTTTTTATTAGTTTGTTTGTTAGTGGGATCCAGTTCTTTTTCATCGCTGTAAACTAAATAACTAGCACATAGTAGCATGTATACATTTGTTCATTCAAAACATGTTGTGTGCCTACTTTATCTCAGGTGTTGTTCCACATGCTGGTAAAGTAAATATATCAGTAAAAATCCAAACATCGCTATCTTTATGGAGCTTCTACTCTTATATAATGAAAGAGATGATAAGCATATAATAGTGATAAGTGGTAGAGAGAAAATAAATCAGGAAAGTAAACTAGAAAAGACCAAGAAGGAGATGCTATGCTGAAACTTTGAATAGTGGGTACTGGAAAGGCTTCACTGAGAAAGTGTTTAAGCAAAGACCTGAAAGTGGTGAAGGAAAAAAGCAATGGTTCTGTATGGCGAAACTGTGTTTCTGGAAGAAAAACCAGAAAGTACAAATGCCCTGATGCCAGAACATATCTGGAGTGTTGTAAGAAAGCAAAGTGACAATGAGAAGTAGTTCAGGGACCATGAGTAAGATTAACAGGAGGTGAAGCCTGAGAGGTAAAAAGGAGAGGGGTAAACATAATAGCAGACAGCGTGATTAGTGTAGAGCTTGATAACTTAGGCCTTGAGGACATTATGCTAAGTTAAATAAGCCAGTCACCAAAGGACAAATATGGCATGATTCCATTTATATCTAAAATAGTCAAACTCATAGAAGCAAAATAATAGAATGGAGGTTGCCAGAGGCTGAGGGGAGGAAGGAAGAAGGAGCTGCTAATCAATTGGTATAAAAAATTTTTAGGCCAAATGAATAATGTGAACAAAAGGGGGTCACATACTAAACATGACACGCTCAGGGGAGGCCTGAATGGCAGGTCTTACAAACTCAGACTGAACGTAATCATATAGGATAGTCTGAACATAAAAATTCCTAACTAAAAGTGAGTCATGGAGGATAGTTGCCTCTTAGGCCTGTAGCTTCATTGACAAATGTTAATCTTTACCTTATGTGAGCCTGTCTATTGTCTTTTCTGCATCTGAGATAACATATCTTTGGAATGTCAGCATAATCCCCCTTTTCAAGACTTCTCAGGCCACAACCTCCCACCAGAGTATAAGACCACAGAAACCCTCAGTTATCTTGTTGCCCACATCATCTCTGTGTGCTGTAAATGTTAACTGTCCTATATCCACCAATGGAAAAGAAGAATGTGTCTCTCGGTTATACCTTTTATCCAGTCTCAGAGATTTCACTGCTTTCCTTTCTTCCATCCTACTAATCTACCACCAATGAATTTCATGTAACCCCGCCACCCCAACCCTTATATCTCCTCTTTTGATTCTAATGTATAAAACAAGCTATAAGGCTGCTATTCTCTGGAGCATTTTCTCAATCCATTGAGATTTTGCTTTCTGGCTGTTGTCATCAGTTTGCCTCAAACTCTTATAAGACTTTTTCTTAGGCTGGAAGTTCTTTCATCGACAATGAGTTCTAGATCTGCTATACAACATTGTGTCTGTAAATAACAATACTGTATTTACAACACTTAAAAAGTTGTCCTTACTACAATTAAAAAGAGATGGAGGGAGGGAGAGAGAGAGACAGAGACAGAGACAGAGACAGAGACAGAGACAGAGACAGAGACAGACATTTGGATGGTTGCAAGCAGAGCACTAACTTGATCTTAAGTTAAAAAGGATGATAGAGTCCAAATGCTCTAGGAAATGGGTGGGCAAATGAAACACAAAACCTGAGACCAATTTGGAGCTTAATGCAGTGGTTCAGAAGATTACAATGGTTTCAACCTGGTTCATAGCAGTAAAAACAAGTCAGTTTCTAAATAGATTTTGATTGTAAAGCAAACAAAATTTGATGGTATGAATGTGGGTGTAAGAGTGAAAATAAGAGTTGAGGATATTTATTTAATAAATATTTGTTGAATGAATGTGAAGTAAAGCCTTGGGAACACATATAATAATAGTCCTGGGAGTAGAGAGAGAAGAAGTTAAATGAAATAGATGAGAAGGAAAACAACCAAATAGCCAAGAGCTAAAACTCAGACAGGATGGCAGAGGGCTGGGGGGCTTGGGGGGCGAGTTAGTGAAGGAAATGGATAAAGTCATACAAATAGGAAATATTCTATAGAAGAGAGATTTGGGAAATAGGAGGAAGCC